TTTCGCGAGCAAGGGGACAACGCCAGTGTGGCTGTGGGCTGGTGACCTGCCCCACCGTGTGCTTCGTGCAGAGTCCACTCTTGCCTGGAGTGAAGGCAGCATCCCAACCCTCTACAACCTTACAGCCCTCTTCTTGCTTTCTGTCAACCTCTCCTCATCCCTGCTCGTGTTTTCTCTCACCAGGTGTAGACCAGAGGCGAGATGGCAAGGTGCTTGTTCCGAACAATTTCAGAGGAGACGTGCCCCGATGAATGCTGCTGAAAGAGGAATGGGAGATAGATTCCTTCACTGACTGCTGCTGAGAAACTAAATTCAGGCTTGAGCTGGTTCTCTACTGAAGTTAGCAAAGTGACTGCAAAATAAAGAAACCAGATGGACACCAGGCAAGGGTCTGTGTTCAAGGATTACTGTTGCACTGCCTTTTACGAATTTTATCATTGCACTATGGTCAGTTGCTTTTCTATATATATTTAAATGAATGGACTTAATTACTACATAAGAAGCATGCACTGCCTGAAGTGTATATTTTGGATTCTTATGAGCCAGTCTTTTCTTGAATTAGAGACACAAACACTGCCTTTATTGTCTTTTTTTGATACTAAAATGTGTTTTTACTAGGTGAGAAAAAGTGTGTTATTTTTTTGAATCTGTAAAAATATTTTCATGATAATTGTAAAGCTTGAGTATTTTGTGATGTTCATTTTTTTATAATTTAAATTTTTTGGTAAATATGTACAAAGGCACTTCGGGTCTATGTGACTATATTTTTTTGTATATAAATGTATTTATGGAATATTGTGCAAATGTTATTTGAGTTTTTTTACCGTTTTGTTAATGAAGAAATTCATTTTTAAAATATTTTTCCAAAATAAATATTATTAATGATAACCAGAGTGCTATGTTTATTCCATAACTGATGATAAACTCACCGAACCTTGCGACCGGGCACCCGACAGGCTTCTGTGGACTCGTGGGTGGATGGGGTACAACCGAGACCTATCACAAAGGGTGGGGAACAACTTGTTCTGTATAGACCCCCCTCTCTTTCCCCTCCTAACCTTCTGAACTGTTGACCCCACGGTTGTTCTCACTCTTACCCCAAAGGCAAATGTATCTCAAAACCTCGAGTAATGTTTGTTCAGTCACGCTGGGCTGCGTATACATCAACGCGTTCGGCATCCCTTCCCGAGGAAGAGCAACGCGAGAGCGCTCCTTCGCGATCGAGACGTGGGGCTCGTCGTGACTTGGCTCTTCCTTTTGCACAGCCTGGAGCCCAGGAGAGTTTGGGACACCCAGGGCACATCGGCGAGGCCCCTGATGCTCACCCATGGGAAGTGAGCTCACCCGGTCTCACGGTGGCCCTTCCCTCCCCAGGACAGGGTGACACTGAGTTGACTGGTGGCCACAATTCTCCAGGCTGTGATACCTGCCTAAAATATTCGTTGCACCTTTGGTTTCTACTCTGCCCCAGGTGCCTTCTGCCTTCACGTGGGGCAGGGTGTGATCCCATCCCCTGGCTTGGCCCCAAAACACTCAGGCAATTTTCCCAGCTTCGTTTGCCCTAACGAGCTCTCCTTCAGGTTGTGCTGCGTGTTCAGACAGAAACAGGCAAAGCGTTCTTCCACCTCAGGAAGAAAAGGGAAATCTAGGAAAGAATTTGGATTTTGATCCATTAAAGCCGCACTCACCCCCGTCATCATGGGCCACTTCCTGCGTCTTCTGGGAGCCGACGAAATCGCTCCGTTCCCATTCCCTTCAGGGGAGGGGGATGCTGTCCTGAACGCAGAGAATGGGTTAGCAGATATCATCAAGCAATTGTTGCAGCTGGCGATCTACAACTCTAAAGCGTGTACGTGCTCCCCATGTTTTAGCGTGCGTAAGGAAGTGAACCACTGGAACTGTGGTTTGGTGCGAGGTCAGTGGAACCATCACCCGGACTTCAAGGCCTTCTCCATCTAGAAGGGCTTCTCCATCTAGAAGGGCTCCTCGCTAAGCCAAACTTCAGACAGGATGTACCTACTCACTACTCATGAAGGGACTCAACAAGGTAATCCTCTTCATTTAGCCCAAAATGTCTTTTTAGGGAAAGTTTTCATGAGGAGAACGATGTGAAGTGCTAAATCCAGCCCGCCAGTGATGGTCTGAACAGCGTTTTCGATCTGAGCAGCAACGTAACGACCTGCCAATAACCAGTCAATGCATCACACATTAAACGAGGCACGACGGTGTGAGTGGCAGCAGGTGTTCAGAGCACCATAATCTCACAGGTTGGACAAACAGGTCAGCTTTGTTAGGTTTTATTGCCGTCTCCGTTGCCGACTAGCTCTGCAACCTTGGGCAAATCACTTTGTCTGTCTCTGTTTCCTCTTCTCCCCAAGATCTCTGGAGCAGGCCTGTCTCTTAGGACCTACTGCGCTTTGCACAGGCCATGTCATGGTCTCAGCTGGGCCCTCTTAATGCCGCTTCTGTAGAAACAGTGATCACAAATGGAAGGTCATTGATGGCTGAGCAGCTCTGCAACATCAGGTCTTTAGTGCTACAGCACGGAAAGGTCTGGAGAAGCGTGCAGCTCCTTGCTCTTCTAAAGAGGCACAGCATTGGCATCTATCAAGTTCTGTTTAAAAATAAAACACCTTTGAAAGCTCAGTCTCTCCAAGTGTGCTTGGCACCGGCAGTGCTGAGCTTCATGAGCAATGGAAAATGCGCTGTGGGCAAAGAGCAGGGCACGGTCTTGTCCTTCTGAAGCACCTTCTGAAATGGTGGTTGGGCAGATGAGCCCAACGGCTTCTTCCATTTCTGTCTTGAGCAGGATTGAGGCTACTGCCACACACAGGGTTTATTTCTTGTCCAGGCTTGCTGAGCCCCCCGAACCCACGCGTGTGCATGGGCAAAAGATCTTGGTGACCGCAGCAGGTTGAGGCGTGCGCTGTGGAGCCCTGCCTCTGAGCCCATCACTCTTCAAACCAGGGCCTTTCTGGGGAAAAAAAAACCCCAAAATGATGATCTGGGCAGGGGGTGAAAACGGTGCATGTGTTTGCTTTAGAGAGAGTGGGAGAGAGAGCTCCTTGCTCGAGGACGGGAGTTCTGCTGCTGGAAAGAACCTCCCCGTCAGCACGGTATTCAAAAGGCCTCCTCAGTTTAGAATGAGAGGGCAGCCTTCCCGGGGAGGCCATTTAGCCAGGACAGCTGAGAATTCAGGGCCTCATCCAAAGCCCGCTAAAATTAATGGAAAAGCTCCAACGAGCAGCAGGGACCCACAGCACCGTGCGCCTCCTAACACAGCACACCTCCGGGTCTCCACGTACCGATGCCACGTGTGTCCCTGCAGAGGGGACAGGAGAGCCCGTGGCCACTCTGGCCAGGTCTGCCCACCCTTTGCCATGCCCACGGGGGCCTGGCGTCCCTCCTCAGGCTGCCCCTGTGGCACCGTCCCTTCGTGCCCTTACTTGGACACACGGCATGTCACAGAATCACAGAATGTTCGGGGTTGGAAGGGACCTCTGTGGGTCACCCAGTCCAACCCTCCCACTGAAGCAGCGTCACCCAGAGCAGGCTGCACAGGACCGTGTCCAGACGGGTCTTGAATATCTCCAGAGAAGGAGACTCCAGAGAAGGAGACTCCGCAACATCCATGCCATGTCTCAGTGTGGTGGGTGGAGAGGACACCCTCAGACCACGCATATGCCAGCAAACCAGCTTCTCTGTGGCAAAGTAGGGAGGGGATCGTGCCTCTGTACTCGGCACTGGTGAGGCCGCACCTTGAGTGCTGAGTTCAGTTCTGGGCCCCTCACCACAAGAAGGACATTGAGGGGCTGGAGCGTGTCCAGAGAAGGGCAGCGAGGCTGGGGAGGAGTCTGGAGAACAAGTCTGCTGAGAAGCAGCTGAGGGAGCTGGGGCTGCTCAGTCTGGAGAAGAGGAGGCTGAGGGGAGACCTTATCACTCTCTACAACTACCTGAAAGGAGGATGTAGTGAGGTGGGTGTTGGTCTCTTCTCCCAGGTAACCAGCGATAGGACGAGAGACAATGGCCTCAAGATGCGTCAGGGGAGGTTCAGACTGGATATTAGGAACAATGTGCTTACTGCAAGAGTGGTCAGGCCTTGGACCAGGCTGCCCAGGGCAGTGGTGGAGTCCCCATCCCTGGAGGTGTTAAAAAAATGTATAGATGTGTGCTAAACCAGGATATGGTTTAGTAGGCATGGTGGTGTTGGGTTGAAGGTTGGACTCGATGATCTTAATGGTCTCTTCCAACCTATGATTCTATTATTCTCTGATTCTATGATAAAGTGTTTTGTAGGGTGGGCACGGACAGGAAATGTCAGGGACATGGAGACACTGCGATGGCTGGGGAGGGTTAGCTGCGGGGAGGCATTAGCAGGCCTCGTTTGTGGAGGGACTTTTAAAAAGAGGTGTGTCACAGCTTTCGAAAAGTAGGAAGCTTTGGGTTCAACCAGCACATCTTAGGTTTGATTGCAAGAGACGGGTCTGTAAATTGCTTTAACTTGGTCTTTGTCCTTACTCTGCTCACAGTGTGGGAGGGTGGCTCGGGCGTCAGGAAACTTGGGTACTATTCCTGGCTCCACCACAGACCTGGTGTGTAACCTTGGGAGAGGAAGGATGGTCTCGTGGCCGCGGCGGAGGGACTCGGGAGGGCCCCCTTCTATTTCCAGTGCTCCCTCCAGACTTCCTGCGCAACCTCGGACCTGTGTCACTTAATCTTTCCAGGGCCTTAGGAAAGTGGGGGCCTCCTGGTTGTGCGAAGAGGGAGAAGGTCATTTGTGCTTGTGAGAGGATACTGCGGTGGTGGGGAAGGCTGAAATGCCCTCCAAGGCAAGTGAGGCTGTTTCCTATCTCTTCACGTCAGAGTGCTTGTCTGCGAGGAGGAGAGCTATTTTTGTCAAGCGCTCGGAGATGCTTGCATGGAGTGAAGACCCCTGTCACAATCGAAACATCCATCATCTGAGAGAGGATATGCAATCGCTGGACTGGCAGCAAGGAGACGAGCTGGCAGGGGGAAGGATGCAGCTGCGGTGGCCTAAGGGTGTGCTCAGTGCCCATGGCCCCTTAGGAGGGACGCCAAGCACGGCAGTGTCATCTTGGAGGCCATGGTGCCATCAGCCTCCTCGCACAGCTCAGTGCCTGCGATGGAGGTCTGTAGCTAGCTGGCTTTCTGCTGTCGCAGCCCCTCTGCCAGCAAAACCATCTTGTAGAGTAAACTTGGTTTGGGACTGTAGAGGACAAGGAGGAAAGCTGCAGAAATTATACAGGTGGCACTTCTCTGCTCATGGACCCTGGGAAACCTCCCTGTTGTTACAGCCCGATGTCCACGGTCATATATTTCAAAGAAAATGACCCGAGAACTACTTCTCCTAGGCCAAATCCCAAACCGAGTAGAGATCTCTCACGATGCCTGAGATCTACTTGAGCCAGATGAATGGGGAGCCTCTCCGTTCCCTTCCCTCCTCTCGAGCCAATGTTTTCGCCCGGCTGTTAGGACCTGGCTTTCTGCCTGTGTCTCTGCTATCGACTCCGCAAGTCAGAGAAATCCAGAGCTTGGCTGGACAAGACCTGCTGTGCACCACGGGACAGAGTTTTGCATGAAACAAGGGTTGTGAAGACGTGGTGGCTGACCCTGCTGCTCACGGTGAGGCAGAGGTGGACAACAGCCCTGCTGCTGCCCAGTCGGTGGGGCAGGGAGGTACGGGAGACAGCGCTGGAGGTCACAGCGTCCTTGTGGCATGGTAGTGTGTTTTCTTAGGAAGAAGCATCCCCGGTCTTTTCTCCTGCTGCTGGGGCTTCATCTCCTGTGCCAATAAATTCAGCACTGCCAGGGCTGCTCTCTGGCCCTGCAGCCAGTTGGAGT